CTCACCTCATAGTTCTAGCCGACCTGTGACAATGAGACTGTCACAGGTCGGTTCAGTAGATCGGGAGGTGAGCGAACACATACCGGCGTTCGCTCACCTCTCGATCCTGTCACAGCTCTCTGCCGTGACAGGGGAGGGGCTGGATTCCCCCCTCCCCGCTCCGATCCGCCAGCGCTGACTGGCAGATCGGACGGGGGAGGGGGCGGGTACAGCTGGCTCTGCCTCTAGATAGGCAGAGCCAGCTGTCAGTCACGCAGCTGGGCGGATCCAGACATAATTGTCGGGATCCACTTCAGCTGCGGCTTCTCAGTATATGGAGAGCTGTAGCTCGCGGTATACTGAGCCTAAGGTGACGGGAGGACGCTAGTTTGTGTCCTCCCGTTACCCTAAGGAGAACTATGGGGAAACGCCTTAACCCCATAGTTCTCCTTTAATGCTGCAATTTTTGGCCGACAGGTGCACTTTAGATTGTAGCTATAAGGGCAACAAGTTTAATTTAATGTCCAGCTACAGTTTATTAGTCACATTTTTAAAAAGAAAAACATTAAGTTCTGTTGGTTCTGAAGGGCCTTTTTCACCAGGGCTCAAGAGTATTAGACTGTAGTGGGGTCTGGACGGAAACTGCTAAACCAACGGCGGAAGCAGACTTTACATTGCTTACAGAATCTTAATCTTAGGATGCCAGTCCTCCATCCAGATCCTCCCGAGTCTAATACTCTTAAGCCCTGATGAGGAAGAACCCTCAGAACATCTGAAATGCATTGGGCATCTAAACAAAAAATTGTGACTACTAAACTATATCTGGACTTGTATATATTTGGGCACTTGGCTTTCTACAATTTTAAAGACATTGTCCTAAGAGCCTATATATGACCTTTTTGCACTAGATATAGAGCTGTCTACTAATAAGATATCACACCCAAATGGAACACATACCCGCGCCAGGGATCAAGTGCTCCACTACACGTTTCTTCAATCAAGATGAAGTTCAAATGTATAGAAATGTTCTACAAATAGGTAGAAAGAAGTTCTCCTTTCATCAAGTATTTTCTGCCCTCCAAAGGAGTCATGCTAAAGGGTCTTGTATCGCACCTATAGGATCAGCACTTGAGAGGTGCTGCTCACATTTATCACACACACACACATGTACACAAGTACCAAGATTTCTTATTTAACTGGAGGTCCTGACACTACATCTGCAAAATCCCATAGGTTGATTAAAAAAAGTGTCACCGAGCTATCACGTTCCAGCATCGCACGCATCAACATCACATATGATTTAGGTATCAGCCTTGAAGGGCTACAACATGTATAAACAACAATTAGGAAATAATGCAAATGCAATTTTCTAGGAGTACATAGCTTCTCGTCCTCTAAGGCCTGAAAGTTTCTAACTGTGACACCTTATTTCATGTACGTACAGCAATTTCACACCCGTTCTTGAAGTGCTGCAAGACGTATAGACAGCCCCCCCTCCTGTATACCCACCCCCCCGCCGCCTTTGTGTCAGGCTGGCAGAAATTAACTGGGGCCTCAAATTGTTCCACACTAAATATTCCAAAAACTTTTAACAACTTTCACAAGTGACACGACGACACCAAACACAATTTCACCCCGAAGGCGCCTTATTCTATTTGGTTAAACAAAGGTGAAAACTGATAAATATTCACAAGGCGGGCGTAATGACTGCTTACGCATAAGATACGGCTCAGGAATCGGGGAGAATTTGCCTGTGTTTTACACTCTCCAAAGTGTCTGCTAATTAGAAAAACACAAACACTATATTTAACTTTCCCATACAATTATGCATCCTACTCAACCCATAAAAATTCTTATATCACTTTTAAACTTCTGCCCAATGTTACCGCACACCAGACAGGCTGCAGCAAATCCATTGTATCAGTTGGCACATCAAGGTCAGACAAAGTCTATTGTGCAAGGAGAAAGTCATTCTTTGTACATAGCACCCCTGAATGGTCCACCCACTGAGTTTTTAAAGGTAACGTATATTGCCCAGAGGTTGATCAGTAAAATAGACCATTCACTACTACAATCACAGGACTAGACCAGTCTTCAGTCAGATCTTCAGTCTGGTTTACAACACAAACACATGTCTTAATTTGTGGGCACCTGACCATCACACCTCTATAAGCTTTGTGGACACCCCATTCCAAAACCATGGCCATTAATATCCAGTTGCCCCCCTTTGCTGCTATACTAGCCTCCACTCTTCTGGGAAGAGTTTGGAGTGTGTCTGTGGGAATTTGTGGCCAGCCAGCCAAAAGAGCATTTGTGAGGTCAGGTACTGATGTTGGATTAGAAGACCTGGCTTGCAATCAGTGTTCCAATACATCCCAATAGTGCTCAGTAGGGTTGAGGTCAGTACTCTTCAGTTCCTCCACACCAAACTGGTCAAAACCATTTCTTTATGGCTTTGTGCACAGGGGCACAATCAGGCTGGTACAGAAAAGGGCCTTCAGCAAATGGTTGTCTCGAGTAGGGATATGGTTTGGATCCCCTTCATGGTTGGGTTCTCTGCAAATTACCGTGGATTGCAGAGTGGTGGGCTACATATTCTTGTGTGCCTCCCCAGTGTTCACAGAGTGTTTAGAGACTCAACAATCCTCTTTAGAACTACCTTTTTGTCAGCTAAAACTGTAGTTGCGGTTTAGCTGGTGGCCCCCCTAATTTGCAGCAGTGCTTTTTTTTTCCTTTATCAGTTTTTTTTTCTGCTAGGTTACAACAAATGTTAGGTTTATAATAGATAATAATAGGAATATTCTGTTGTTAGAGATTTTTTGGAGTGTGGTGTAAGCAGCAGAAACAGCACAGTTGCCCTTTGTTTGCAGCATGTCACCACATACTTGTGCGGTAAAGTAATGTACACCAAGGCACCACATATCTATGCCCTTTATTGTCACAACTGCCATTAAAATTGGGCAATCCCCATTATTTACAAAGGTCCTTCATCAGGCCAAAAGGGTTTTGTTGCCTGGCAGCAATGCAACATCAACATGAGCTGCTTGCCAACCTTCTCATATGTGACAACCCTGTGTGATAAAACTCAACGTTGGCCCTGCTGAAAGGCAGCACCAGCAGTAGTGTTCCACCGGTGAGTACTGTGTGATTATGTGTGAGCACACACTGAGTGACCTGATAGACCGAGCACTGAAAAGACAGCAGCAGGAAAAGGAGGATTTGCTGTTGTCCTAGGGCCAGCAGGAACCTTTGCCTGCTTCCATCCCTGTGGGATAAGGGCACCAGGAGGCAGAGGAGGAAACTAGGAAATGTGGCAGGCTTCATAGGGGATGCTTCACCCTTCCAAAACCCGACTGTTGTAAGTGAGGACAGTTTTGTCCTAAATGACACAGAGATCTCTGCAGTCAATGTGTGGTGAATGGGGTCTCTCGTGTTCAAGACTCTGCGCAAAGACCCCAGGATTCGGGTCACCAAAGAGAGGGACCACTATTAGGTGGTCACCCTATTAGATCCCCGATACAACAGTAAACTGGCCAATCTACTGTCACTATCCAAGAGGATCCCATACATGTAGCAAGTGAGGAGGTGCTGCATAAAAATCTCTCTGCCACATTTACTGATGGTGGATCTTCTCTGACTAATATGCCCCTAATCCTCTGAGCCCTGAAAGGGGGTTGCCACATAATGTTTCCACAGCTTGACCCCAGTTGCAAAATGTCTAATGTTTCTTGTAGGATAAATCCTGCATAGTGTCACAAAGTTTATGGCCTATTCCTGTGCTCCAGCACTCAAATATATTTGTGGCTATTGTCTCTTTGATAATACACCCTAGATTCTATTTCAAGTTAACACCTGCCTTGTCTCTCCCTCCTAAATTGCAGCCTAGCCAGGCAGCCACTGTACACAATTAGTGGCTATTGTTTCTTAGATAATACACTCTGTTTAATTGAAGATAAAACTTGCCTTGTCTCTCCATCTTAAATAGCAGATTAACTAAGCTGCTTACATACAGTCCAGCCACTGTACAATATTTGTAGCTATTGTCTCTCAGATAATACACTCTAATGTTTATTTAAATATAAAACCTGCCTTATCTCTCCATCTTAAATTGTGGCTTAACTAAGCTGCTTACATACTGTCCAGCCACTATACAATATTTGTGGCTGATGTCTGTCAGATAATACACTCTAATTTTTAACTGGAAGATAAAACATTCCTTTTCCCTCTCTATTTGCTGCCTGTTCAACTGCTCTCATGCGGTCATGATAAACCCTTGGTGAATCGAAAGGGTAGATTCGTCCATCACTAGTAAAAAGGTTGATAAATCACAATTCTCTAAAAATGTCTCTGTATGCAGTAATACTAACAGCACCCCACACTGGAAGCAATCACTTGGAGGGGGGTTCTCATACATATAGCCATATAATAGGTGTGATGGTCAGGTGTTCGCAAACTTTTGATCATATATAAATACAACTTTTGTAGTATGCTTTTATATTGTGATTTATTACAGACTACGGTGCGGAGAGTAATGGCAGAAATCACAAACAAGCTTTTTGCCACATAGCAGTGTCCCAGGAGCCCCTAGACCTAGTCATTCCAGGATGCACAAGCAAGAATACATCAGACTACCAGCTGCCCACTGCCCAACAGGGAGGTATCAGAGGGGCTTCTAATTTTCTTACCCAAACTCAAAGTTTGTATCACAGAGCACCCCATGGGCAATCTGTGAGCTTTGTCATACGGTACAAGTTTGCATTTAGTGGGTAGCAGACAACAGTACGATTCTCTCATAGGCTGAGCAACTTTAGCTGTAAACCTCAGATGACAGAGCAGAGATTTTCATATGTAACTATGTAACTATGTAACTTTTTCTGGTATTTGTATACCAAAAACAATTCCTGAATTCACTATATTATCATATACTGTGCACGGAGTGCAGAGGGTCATTGCCCCTGTAATAAAGTAATGAAATCATTTTTGCCCTTGGTATGTCGATATGAGATCCTGGTTCTTGTTACCTTAAAGTCTTCTGGAAGCAGCAGCTTGGAGGTCCGTAGAAAACTCAAGATATAGCGGAAAATCTCGCCGTCCCGATCGACGAAGTAGTGCTGTTTTAAACTGTCCAACACGATGGGTTCTGTGCCATTAAAAAGACGACTTATTCTACAAAAAAAGAAAGAAAAGAGATTACTTTTATGTGTAATTCATAGCTCTACACAATTACTGTATATTTCCATCCCCCCCCTTCTCCTTCCACTTGACTGATTACCCACATCAGGAAACATCTCATTCATTGATATATTAAAAGCTGAACTCCAGAGCAAAAGCTAACAGCACAGATGTATATTTTGTTTCTATCCATCTATTTCTGATATTTACACATCTGTCACACAGCACAGCCCTGTGTGGCAAGGGAGGAGACCTGATTTTTTTTTCTGCTGCAGAATAATAGCACTTACAGGTCTTTTCCTTCCCCCAGCCAATGGGCATTTTCTAAGCGCCGCATGTACTGAACCTTTTCTCCTATTTTAACCTCCTTTATAAAAATCAACAGGAATATAATGTAAGCACATTTAAAAAAACAATACATTTAGCTCCGAAATTACCTAAAAATGTGCTTTCTCCTGGCAGCATTTGAGATGCATATGAGCTAGATGTTCCTATACACACAACCTTAACCCCCCCTTTACTGCTAGTGCCATAAATAACACTGTAGGCTTGGGCAGTCGAAGGCTTTCAGGGAGCTCACGGGTGCAACAACATATTCAAATTTTATATCCAGAAAATCTCTTTTGTGTAGAAGTGTTTCAGGGGGCTTCATACCAGCATCCGTGTCCCTGTAGATACCTGTGGGTCCTGGGTCTCATTTCCTCCTGTGAGCCTAGGACCTCAGCAAGTCAATCTCAGGATAGCGAGCGTTGGAAATTGAGTGAGCTTCCCGTTTTTCGCTACAAGGAATGAACCCGTAAATGCTTTTTATGTGCAGGTCCTCTGAGCAGCACTGACTGGACACAGACATCAGGTTGTCTAATAGACTTCAAATTGTAAAGAGCACCTGTCACCACCTAGATAGACTGTTACCAACTCCCTTTATGAGAGTAATAAAATAAAATGATAAAAAATAAACTATAAAAACTTCACATGGTTGTGTGTGCGCCTAAAATTATTATAGGCCCCATTCAGAGTTTTCCAGTCTGGTGCATTAGCGGTCAAACTAACATGGGCTGTCAAAAGATTAGAAAATGCACCTGCATAATTTTCCCAGCGTGGCGCACCACAATGCACGGTAGAGCACTCTGGCATGCTGCAATGCAGGTCAATGTTACATTTGGTGCATTGGTGCAAAATAAATGCATGTATAGCACGGGGTCAAGAAATAGGTTTTTTTTTAGCTCATAAAATATGTATTTCGGTAATTATGCTATAAGCTCCGGTGATTTATATGAAAGGGGAATTTGAACGATGGAACCACCTTTCACATGGTCTTTCTGATCAAGTCCAACTGTCAGTTTTTCTGGTGGACCTGATCGGAAGCCCAATGTAAGTCTATGGGCGGCCGGATTTAAACGGATGGGCGTTCATTCTCACACCTGGTTACCCCAGCTCTGGCCAGGTCCGGAAAAACAGATAGATCCAAGTTCCATTTCACCGGACCTGATCGTGCCAGATCACGGGGAATCTGATGCAAATGGACACAAGTCAATTTCCATCTGATTCCCCGTTGACCAACAGGGTCCCTTAACTTCAGTTTTTGCTGATCGGAACGGTCACCATGATAAAAAGTTTTGCTGATTGGAACGCATGTCACCATTGTGATATGTGTCCATCCAATGGTGGCATCTGTTCCAATCAGCAGGGGCTGATCGGAACAGATTCCCCCCTAATCAGACCATGTGAAAGAAGCCTTAAAGACCCATTCACACTGAACGACATAGATATCTGCGTTTTCTGCGCAATTTTGCGCTGAGTGGCTTGAGCTACACTGCGCGATATTGAGCGACAGTGCACATTTTATCGCGCTACATTTTTGGGCGGGACTTCGACGCTGCTACATTGGGCTGTAACCAATCAACAGAGATCTTGATGTGACATCATTCTTTCCTTCCATTGTGCAGTGCAAAAGTGACCCTTCTGTAGCGCAATATCGCGCGACAAAGTCGCGCAATATCGCCGGTAATGCGCGATTTTGCGCGACACCACAGAGTCTATTGGAGCCGAATCGTGCAACATCCGCGGGAAAAAGGGTCGTGTATGAGCGACAAGCTTGAGCGACGAGCTACAGGCGACATCGAGCTTTGAAATGTGAACAGCTCCATTGAAATGCATTGGACAAGCTACATAGAGCGATATCACGTGGAAATATGTGCGATTTCGCGGCGGAGATCGCACGATAAACCGCTCAGTGTGAACGGGGCCTTAAACCTGGTTCGCTTTTAAACATGACACATTAAACTCATGCAGACTTTGGACTGGATTGACCCGAGTTTTTTTTTGCAACCTTATCTGCTATGTAACAATGTAAGCATCCCCGGTCTCCATGGTGCACTGGCAACATAGTAATAAAAAAGTCAAATCGATGCCGATTCACAATGTGCCAACACTCCATCATCTGGTCACACGTGTGACAGAATCTCCTTAACATAATGGGTCTGCACTGTGCGAGGCCTGCCCTGGATTTAATACACGGCCCCCCAATGAGACGGAGATTATTCATGGGTCAGTTGCTTGTGTCCCAGATGTTTCCCCGGCATCCCTGCAGATCAGTAAACAAAGGTGGACATATCTCCGATCCCTGTAGGCATCTGCGAGGTTATATTCTGCATTCTGCTGCCTGGCTGCATCAGGGCGCTCGAGTTTTCCATAAAGTGATAAAATCTCCGGTTTGTAATGATGATTCCAGCACTGAGCGCGGAGGTCTCCCTCCCCCCATCTCGTGTGCAGCTTCTTCCTAACCAGATCTGCACATGGTACAGCTGTAGCACTAGGTCAATAGCCCGCGGCTCTGAATCTCATCGGGCCCTCGGCGATAGGCTGCTCTTGCTCTATAGCATTCTGGGAGCTGGGATTGAAGTATTCATCATAGAAAATCTAGTATGGGATTCACAAGGACAGGCCGGCTCCACTGCATCTTTTTTATTTTTTATTTGTGTGCGTCTTTATGAATAGCACAAGGCCCGATTATAAAAACCGCTGAAATAATTGCTTCTCGGTTTCATGCAATTTGTCTAATTCTTGCCCCGGAATCGCGCCTGGTTTTCCGAGTCTGACGCAGGAAGTGGCGATGCCAAAGTAATTTGTAACAGACTGGTGTAAAGACTTGCAAAAAAATAAAACGCAAAAATGCCACCTTGGTTTTTTCAACTTCCCCCTTTGAAATGAAATTGGTAAAGTGCATTGAATGCCAAACACTTAAACCAAATACATTGCTTCATTGGTGTAACAATAGCCACAGCAGCCCATGCGGCTGCTAGCTATGGTGCCTGGGGGGGTGGAAGGGGCCCCGTTGAGGACTGCAGAAGTTGCTGTTGACACTGAGCCTATACCCCCCCTGTGACATTTCCAAGAGCCGATGTCAGATGTACAGGAGGAGACAATGCATACAGCTCTCCTGTTACATAACTTTACTATCATTGACACTAGGGAGGTCGCTGAGGGGCCCCATAAAAATTTTGCTATGGCAGCCCCATGATCTATAGTTACGCTCCTGCATTGCTTCATATGTCAAAAAGTTAAATTCTCTTTTTTATTATTTCCTGTTTTCAAGTAAATCACAACAGCACAGTGGCTTAGTGGTTAGCATTTGACCCTTCCAGTGTGGGGGTAGCCTCTCTGCAAGGGTTACGAACAGTATTGCCCAAAGTTCTTCTTTAAAAGAGAACTATGGGGTCAGTGTTTTTCCCCATAGTTCTCTTAAGGGTCACGGGAGGACATATACTAGCGTCCTCCCGTGACCCAAAGCTCAGTATATTGCGAGCTACAGCTCGCTGAATACTGAGACCGCCGCAGCCAGGACAGATCCTGACATTACTGTCGAGATCCACCCAGCTGCGTGAGTGACAGCTGGCTCTGCCTATCTAGAGGCAGAGCCAGCTGTACCCGCCCCCCTCCCCATACGTTCCTCCAGTCAGCACTGGAGGATTGGAACGGGGAGGAATCCCTCGCACTCCAATGCAATGCCAAGTCAATCTTATTTATTGACTAAGGTAGTGTAGCATTTTACAGCTGCTGTAAAATGCTACACTACCTTAGTCAATAAATAAGATTGGCTTGGCATTGCATTGCATTGGAGTGCGAATTACCTTCTATTGGATTTGCATGTGTTTTGCGGAGGCATCTGCTGTCACCGCCGCACACGCCCTGTTCTTTTTGGGCTTCTATCAGGTCAGGAGTGTGATGGGATACAGGTTGCACTGCTGATGTGACCTTCCCAGGATGCAATGCTTGGGCACAGATTACATCACTAATGCCCAAGAGGACCAGGAAGAAGAAAAGCAATAATTGTAAGTAAAAAAAAAAAAATGTGTTTTAATGAATTGTAAGATGATTTCATATCAATGTCAAAAAGTTAAATTCTCTTTTTTATTATTTCCTGTTTTCAAGTAAATCACAACAGCACAGTGGCTTAGTGGTTAGCATTTGACCCTTCCAGTGTGGGGGTAGCCTCTCTGCAAGGGTTACGAACAGTATTGCCCAAAGTTCTTCTTTAAAAGAGAACTATGGGGTCAGTGTTTTTCCCCATAGTTCTCTTAAGGGTCACGGGAGGACATATACTAGCGTCCTCCCGTGACCCAAAGCTCAGTATATTGCGAGCTACAGCTCGCTGAATACTGAGACCGCCGCAGCCAGGACAGATCCTGACATTACTGTCGAGATCCACCCAGCTGCGTGAGTGACAGCTGGCTCTGCCTATCTAGAGGCAGAGCCAGCTGTACCCGCCCCCCTCCCCATACGTTCCTCCAGTCAGCACTGGAGGATTGGAACGGGGAGGAATCCCTCGCACTCCAATGCAATGCCAAGTCAATCTTATTTATTGACTAAGGTAGTGTAGCATTTTACAGCTGCTGTAAAATGCTACACTACCTTAGTCAATAAATAAGATTGGCTTGGCATTGCATTGCATTGGAGTGCGAATTACCTTCTATTGGATTTGCATGTGTTTTGCG